TGTCTGCTTCTCCATCGGTCAATTTGGAGGCTAGATTTTCCAAGATCTCCATAGCTTTTGAATAGTCGCCACGCCGCACATTGAGGTCAATCTCCAGAGTCAGGATACTGAAATGCAGATCTTGACCTAGATTGGGAGGAGCTTGTAGTTGGGCAAGGACTGCTTCGGCTGCAACCAAGTTGTCTCTGAGAAGATATCAGAGCGAACGTCTTACAATAAAGGCTTACGAACCGATGCAAATGTCTCCGCAATTTAATTAGACCCAAATTCGATGTCCAGTACTGAGAATGTCTAAGGGTCCGCAGAGTCTCTCCGTCGACCTCTTCCATGCGCGCAAGAGCATCTTCGTATCGTCCCCTTTGAGCAAGCTGCCCAAAATTCTTAACAATTGAATGTTGAAGTCATAATGGGCGAGCTTACCAATAGCGCGCTTCTGCAAACACAATGCACAACGTCTTCGACGGGAGACTGATCGGTGTAGCATTGAAGAAAAAGCTCTCCAGATAGCCAGGCTTGGCAGCTCACGCCTGCTCGTAGATTCAGCGTCAGAGGGTGTCTTAAACGAATCCTCAAAAGACAGAGCACACACCAAGTCTCCCAAAGATGGATGATTGCATCGACATCTGGCTGCCGATTGCATTTGCGACATCTTTTGTCACGTTGAGATGTGAGGATCTGACGATGCTCTCAAAAGCCTGTGCTACGCTGTCACCCTATTGAAAGTACCATATTAGAACAACGATCACAGCTGGAGGTGAACCCAGTCCCGGTGCAGTGCTTACGTTACTAAGGCCCAACTTGGCCTCGCTGAGCAACGAAGTGCTCAAGAGACCCCACATGCTTGCCTCCTTAGCTTTCGCCTTGAGGAACGCTAAAGCCTCTTTCTCTGTCCCGAGCACCCCTCTCTTCTGAACATCGTCCATTTTTTCCGGATGTGCTTTACCGAAATGATACAGCCAGCTCAGACTATAGTTAAGACATCCCATATCATTATTTTCCCTCGCAGTAGATATAGTCTCTTGCATTGCGGTTAAAGCTTCAGAGTGACACCCAAAGTCCGCATGAAGGATGGCAAGATTAAGCAGAGCATACTGGTAGAACGTGCGATCCCGATTTTGCATGGTATAATCAAAGTACCGGTGCAGATTATCGAAGGATGATGGGTAATCTCCTGATCTCCATGCGTCAAGGAAACTGACAAGCATTGAGTAATCTGAGCAGTACTCTAGAAACAATACTCACGTTACATAATGAGACAGGTTAGGCACAGTCACGCCGGTGTCAAGCATCGCCCGGAACTTGGCCTTCATTGCTTGGGGAAGCCGATTGCCCATTCCTACTGCCCAGTCAGCTTGTACTCTACGATTTCCGGATGAATCCCACAGTACTTTGCATCTGGTCAATCTGATACTCTAGAAGCGTTTCCAAGTCCTCGGCGCTAACACTTGCGTCATGCTGAACTCCATGGGCGAGTTCACCGTAGACAACATCAGTCAATCGATCTCCCAAATCTAAATTTTCGTCTTGTAGGTTTGCATCGAAGCTGTTGTGATTCGCAGACTGGTTTCTTTTCTTCCATTGTGGAAGCGTTGATGCGCGGTATGCAACGAAATTTCTCCACAACGTTACGCCGTCGTGAAACTGCAGTCTCGTGAATTCAAGTTGGGCTCTTCTGACAAATGATCCCATCGGCGAGGCTCGAGATAGCCGTATATGATTAGGATTGGACTCAATCACATCCTCGGCATCCTGCTGCTGTTGCTCTGGCGGCTTCTGAAGCAGTAACGAAAGGGTGTCAAAGAAGACATGTAAGGCGTCGAACGAATTGAGCTTCCACAGTTTGTTCAGCAGTAGATCCCAGATAGTCCTCCCAGGAATGCCAGAGACATGGCTGATAGTGGCTTTCTGGAAGTCTTCAACAGCGAGCGTAACATGGCGCGATTGCAGGGATGACTTATCCTGAGAAGCTACCGAGCTAATTGGAAGGACATGAGAGACAAGGAAGGACAAAATAGGAATGGTTGCCGCTGACGGCACGACAGAGTCCGAGTACAGCGATATCAATGCAAGAAGTCCAATTTTGGACGGCGTCAAATAACGCGACATGCTACAATGAGACCAAGACAGGGGAAGGGCATAGCATAGTCATTTCTCAATACATAGCTCCTTCAGTCAGACTCGAAGCGCAAGAAAAGAGGAAGGTCGAATGGTGTTCAAGGGGTGTTGTTGTAAAAGGCTCCAATCAAATCCTAGGATCGATGGGATACCCGTTTCAAACTCTGGGGAAGGCCGCTCTAATTTCAGGACAGAGCCAGCCATGCAGCACGAATTAACCAGCATGTTAAGATTACTGGCTTTGATCACTACGATTGTGCTACATAGAGGAAACTTCGCTCAAAGCTTGGTGAACGCTTGCCGCCAACACAGGCCATGCGTTTAGGCCCAATTCCTTGCGAAGTGCAGGAGAGCGCAGTATTTCAACCTCCGAGGTTTCCATCTACACCGAGGCACTGCTCACTCGAGTTGAACGATCAGAGGTCGAGACGGCGTCGAAATCCGGAGCGAGTCTTAGAATTAAGGAATGTTATTTCCCCTGGATAAAGGTATTAGAGCGTTTTCCACTTATGCATGTTGGTCTCTGTACCACACTAGATAGGGCGCTAGGTTTTGACAGGCTTGCCATATCATCCTTTGAAAAGGTCGATCTTGCGATACTAATACTATACTGCTTCCTCCAGCCCTCCTGTATCCACCAATTCGTCGTCCTTCTCGTTAGCGTTTGAGGCCCATACCCTGCTGATAGCCAGATCAAACGGTCCAGGAACACGGTCCGTAAGACTCACGCCCAGAGTCCGAACCTTCTGCCTCATCATCTCAGTCTGCGGCTCCACCACCTCTCCGTGATTTGTCCTGACAAAGGCGTTGATTTCAATGAGCACCGTCTCCCATTCGCCCGGCTTTCGAGCATGCAATCGGTGCTGATGTAAATCGGTGTGTACTATAGATTCCGTTTGCACGTTCACAAAGTATTTCCTTCCATCGGACTTGACTCGCAGTGCGAGGTATGTATATGGGTCAACGTCCCAAAGGCTTTTACCAAATAGTGTAGGCGGGCGGTCTCTGTTGCGCCAACCAGCATAGCCTGTACGCTGTACTTGCGGTCTGTTCCGCGGAAGGTCTGTAGATATGGAACCGTGGAAACGAGCATGCGCTGGTTGCGAGGAGGTTCTTGGAATTTGGTCAAGGGAAGCATTAGAGAAACCCCCTATGTCGGCATCTGACATGGTTTTGCAGGCCGGAACAGTGTCGGGATCTGAAAAATCCAGGAGAGAAAATGGGGTGGTTGGGACACGGATGCCTTCTTGAGTCAAGGCTGCACAGAGCGTTAGCTGCCGATGCATTCTCTAGAAAGGCATTTAATGGAGTAGCGTTAAGATCAAAGGAGGGCGTACCGATCTTGGTAAATCTCTTCAATTCGTCCAGGCTTCGTCTTGTGAAGCCTGGGGCAAGCAGACGTGATGAAGCTCGCATAGTTTAATGCAAACTATTAATTTGTCGCACAGAATCTATGTTGCTATTTTGGATTTGGCTTGATGTATGATTGAAAAGAGGTATCATAGAAGTGAATACCATGATGCTAGTAGAAGTCATTGACATTCGATTGGACCCCAATGGGCGGGAGTTGCCAGGATGCAGTCATTGACAGCTCTAGGGTTGATCGTTTATCGCGGCAAGATAAGATTATCACGTCCATATCAATATCAAAAAGTGAATCCGATTGATGTATGGTGTCTGGTACTTATCCAACATATTGTACTTAGAGCACTGTGTCTAGTAACTTGAGGGCTCTGACTTTGAATGGTCTTCAGTCTGCGGCTATCAGCCTGAACAACGGCGGGAAAATCACCATGTTTCATGGATATGGATGCAGTAAAACACAAAACTCCTCTACAATTTGGGTGACGAGAGAGGACAGTGTAGAACAAGACTGTTTCTTCGTGTCGTGTCCACTTATATATGTGTCCTATCCAAAGCCAACCCTAAGCTTGTGGCAAGAAAGAGCTCGAGCTTCAAAATTGCGAGCATACAAATACTATGATGAGTTAATCGTCACTCGCTACAGATCTGTAGGTACGTTCTCAACCGTTGAGGAAGAGTGTGGAAGCTTATGTACTGACGCAGGGAGATTGTTGAAAGAGGGAGACTATTGTCATCTCACAGGAGACTCTCAGTCTTTCGATCTATGAGACCATCTAGCACTTACCAGTGCGCCTTAAGAAACGAAAGCTGCAACCGTGTCTGCAGATACCTTTGCTATTGCCAAAAGTGAGATCTCAGTCCATGTTAAGCTTTGTAAGAGGTGGTGAGTGGATCCATTGGACCAATTGATACTATGACCGCAATGATGGGCATGGTCATATAATATTAAAAAGACAGGGCGAAACAAGAATTTTCATCCTGGTTCGATGGAAGAGTACCTTAGTCGATTAAATGTCTTAGAATCACTTCGGTTCCTCGATCCGCCCTCTTAGAATCATGCTAGCCACTCTAGAGATCTAGCGTCCCTCGGAATTGCTAATACTTCAAAGCCTTACCATCGAAGACATATCCACCTAGCCATTGTTAGTAGAGTCAGCAGAGCTTAAGCTGTTTAAACTGCTCAACAGACTGTACTTAGCGACAAACAAGAACCCTTTGAAGGCAAAGCGGTTGAAAGTAGCGTTGAACAACTCGTGGTAGATCAGAGTGGACTAGTATATAGGAGTCCTCTTCCCCGCCAAAAGAATCTGTTCTTCTTTCCCCTTCCACACACACTCTTCTATTCAACGGTCTTGCAGGCACTGCGGTACTCTCTTTTCACCATCTCGATCATCTTCAAGCAAAGCACGCACTTACCTTGTTAACGGTTTGCAAGACTACACTCACTCGGAACGAACTTCCCCCAGCTTTTACACTCCTTCTCCCTAATTGTATCATAGCCAAAGAGATACCAAAGCAGCATGTCTCACTCACCAGCTACACCGGACAAAGCTGGCATGCATGCCAACGGCTCTGGATCCAAGGCGCCGCTGCCTTCCACGGACAAGCCTACCTCTACCTCCAAGGTCAAGCAGACATCACTTAACGAGCCTTCACCTGCGAGTACCTACGGTGACACCGTTGCTGGCGGTAGTTCTCCCGCTACTCCGCTGGACGTCGGCAGTCATGGTAAGTGCATGTGTTCTGTCCCTGCTCGTCATGTACCTCGCTTTGTTTTCTGCCTAGCATCACGACTTAGAGTCTGGCTCGGGCTCGAGATTACATTTCTCTCCTTGAAGCCAAAGCAAGCACTTTTCGTCCCTTACCCTTCATGCTTACTCCCGTCTTGATGGCTCGGCTAACGGGCCAAGATCACCACATGGCAGGTTTGATACACTCCCTGCAGGCTGCGCAAATCGATCCTGCCATTGAGACCATCTCCGGATCTCCAATGACAGCTCGCGATGGAAAACACCTTTCACAGCTGGAGCGACGTGTAGACCGAAGTATCTTCATCGAAGCTCAGCTGAGTCCATCAAAGACCGGTAACCTCAGTCGCAATGCGTCTGCAGCCTCATCCCCAAGCACCGATCGCGTCAAGGAAATTCGCGAGAGCCCCAGTTGGCGCAACAAGGATGGGAACTTTGTGCGTCGCTCTGGCAATCACGGAGAAGACCCATTCGTCTCCAGTGCCAATGCTGGGCAGTCTCATAGTCAAGGCAAGTTATCGCTCTCTCAGATGGATTCAGCGCGCTTACTGCTCAAGGCAACAATACATCCTTCAGCCCCCGTAGGGATCGAACGGGGGTCCCGCTTTCCAATGACAACGCTCAAGCCATGCTGCCACCAAGAGCTTGTGTCTTCGTCGCAAAGTAAGCTCGAATTCCCTTCCGTGAGACACATCGCTGACAATATACAGTCTTGTTCAGACACAGTCTGATGATCAGCTTGAGCATCATGTGCACGTTGCGTTTCTCCAGTACGGCACTTGCTATGTCAAGATTAGACGTGACGCACGGGGTATGCCATTTGCTTTTGTTCAATACGAGGTAAGCCGAAGACTCGCAGGGTACACTTCCCATGCTGACAATATCAGAACGAGAACGAAGCTCAGCGCGCTATCTCTATCGGTCGGGGTATGCTCATCAACGGTCGCCCATGCCGTACAGAGGTTGCCAAGGTGAACCGTAAGCTAGTCCGATTGGCACTTTGCCGTTCCATTCTGCTCTGACACTCTCGTACTACAGGCTCTTTGTATCTGTCGAAGGTTTCTGGAGGCCTGATCTCCGAGACAGAAGCTCGCGAGGTCTTGTCTCGTCACGGACCAATTGAGAGCGTTTGGTTGTGCTCACAGACTGACAAGGAGATGTTCCGTCTACCTGAAGGTATCTGGGTAAAATTTGTCTACTTCCAGGACTGTCGTGACGCGCAAGCGGTGCGTTGGTCCAAATTGTTATTTTCTTTCCCTTTCGCTGACTTGTCGAAGATTTTTCGAGATCACCCAGTGTATAGGCTTGAGCAACCACCCTTGCCAGAAGAGGTTCGCCCTCGTCAAGGAGGCCGAAAACACGCGTCAATGTCTCCCATGCAGCGATCGAGTCCTGGCCATATTTTGCCGTCGCCGCAGTATGCATCTAGACGGGCTAATGCAGACCTGTGCTCCATCTTCGTGGGTAACTTGCCACCCAATGCCACGGATCCGCAGCTTCGCGAAATTTTTTCAATCTTCGGTCCTATCACCCACGTGGAGATAGTCAGGAAGCCATCTGTGCACGGTACGTCTATTTTCTCCTTTCCCATTTGCCCACGAGTCCACTAATTTCCGATAGCTGGTATCAATGTCTTCGCGTTCATAGAGTACCTCAGTCCTGATATGGCGGTCGCTGCCGTTCAGGCGAGCCCTAGGATGTATGGAGTCGATCGTCTTCGTGTTGAGCGCAAAGAAATAAGCGGTACCTTCGCTCCTCGTGACCGCGTCTTCGCATCTGGTGGAAGCCCAAGCTCCCCATACTTCGCTGATTCTCATGAACAAATGGCGAATCTCTTACAGCGCGTCTATAATTTCGGTATGACTCAAGGAGCACAAACACAAGCTATGCCACCGCCGGTGTATGCTCCATACCCGTACTATCAGCCATACGATCTATCTCAGTACGGACAATTCGCCACGTCAGCCACGCCGATGGACAACAACACTGCAGCAGGCCTGCAAACTCACGGCAATGGGTACCCGGCTCAAGCAATGGGTCACTTTCAGTATCCCCAGGCTCCCACCAGCACCTCATACCTTCAGTACCCACAGCAGCCAGCACCTCGTCCCTACCAGTGGCCACCTGCGAGTGCGAGTGCTGACAATGACAACGCATCACCGTCTAAGGGAGCTTATTAGGTTGGTCGGAAGCTGGTCACTCGATCATTGTCGACTCGCTCGGGCCTGATCATGGCACACATTCCGGCTTGTGAACCCTTGCACTTTCTTTTCGACTTTGCACGTGTCGATTCGTCTCGATTATTGTACGATACCTAGTTGTTGCATCCGTCATGGCTCGATGTTCTTTGTGTGTAATGTGTCATCGCGTGCCCTGGATATTCGGGTTCAACTTTGAGCTGGGATACCTGCGGAGCCTCGCGCATAATGGCTGAGGCTCAGACTATCTTTCTATTACTGCTGCAAAACTTCTTTCACGGACCACGGTATGCGGCATACAGCCCAGGTCATGACTGACTTTGATCACGTCGCTAACAATAGTTCAGCAGGATCACAACTTCCATTTTCGCCCCATGGCTTGCTCCGGAGGCAGAGTGTTCTACCTTTTCTCTTCTGCGATCTTTTAGCCACGGCAGCCAAAATGGCTTCGCACGCGGAGGACAACATCTGAGGAACCAGAGGACAATGTTTAATTACGGCGATGGTTCTCTCATTTTTTCCCTATCTATGTGTCAATTTCTCTAGCTCTGGCCCCAAAGGCATTCGCAACATTCGCAACTTACATACGCAAGCGATCAGCAACAATCACAAGCAATCATGAGCGATCATATAGAGTAGCATAGCACGAGCTTCAAAATCAAACAATTTCATACTCAACCTTTAAGCTTTCGCGTATTTTGACACGGAGATATTTTCATGTGCTGCATTGTCAGGTTTAATCGATGAGTTGCATATCTGACTTACAAGAGTTGTGGCTCTGGACACGAACGTATCAAGGACGATGCCTTGTCGATTCCTGCTACTACACAGCTGAGTCTTTTTCTTTACCTTTTCTCCCCCCCCACCCCCCTCAATTCTTTTTCCCTCGGGTCGTTGGCTAGAGCACCGGCCGTTATCATTTTCTATGACTAATCATAGATACACAGTGGGCAGGAACCTAGGTCGCGCGAGCAGAAACTGCTACAAAGGGGAGAAGCCACCTTCGGATCGAGCGACTAAAATCCATTCGCAATGGGTCAACCATCATTCCAAGCATCAAATGCCATCATCTACCTCACTTATGGCGCATTTTTGTGCGTCAAGCCCCACATCCTGCCACATGCCAGACTAGATACGCTGACAGTAAGCGCTCTCGAAACGCAGGGTCTCGGGCCTCTATATCGCGTGGAAATATAGAAATCAGTCGAAAGCGGATTTTTTGGCCACGAATCGTACACAGAAGGGTTAGATACAACACACGTTGACTTCCTTTTCTTGACTCTGACCATCATGGCCCAACCCCGCGTTTGACATGAGAAAGAAGCGGGCTGACCACTGCTTAGCTATCCCTCTTGCACTTAACTTCATCGCCTCGTGTGAGTGTATTCGCAACCGAAAGCGCTCATTGCTTGAAGCGGCAGCAACGCTCCCAGCGCAGTGTTTCAGCTGGCCCGCACCAGCTGGGACACGAAGAATGGCAGACTCGAGTACGGGATCATGATTTGACATCCTGACCAGGTTCGTATTTGCAGCATCAACGCAGGCCGATGGCCACGGTCCCCCTGCCTGTGCTCATTCAATAACAATGAGATGGGAAAGGGGACCATGGGCAAAGGTTCTGCGTGGCTTCACTACGGGTGCCGATTGTAAATCGGACGGGGCTGGATCTAACTCTTCGCTCCAGGTGTTGAGAGATCCCACCAGTTCTATTTGGCATGAAGCTGAGATCAGTACCGTAAATACTCGATCAAGTTAACACTTGCGTGGGGAATGTGCTGCCGCTTCCCCCTCTTACCCCAAACGATTGATCTTGAGCCCGCTGACCAGACGACATATTCCACCCGCTACAGCTCTTGGATCGGGCATTTTGTTCTCTTATCCCGAAATATCTACAATTGCTGGCGTCCAAGGCTTGATCGTCTATACACTCTCTTCGTCTTTGCCACTTTTGGTGTTCGGCTTTCTTGGGCCCATTATTCGAAGGAAATGCCCAGAAGGGTTCCTTTTGACAGAGTGGGTACGTACACTCCGGAGGTGATTCTTCCTAATCGGTAGTCAGATCGAGTCACAAGACGAGTCTCAGGAGCAAAAGGACCTTTCAACTCCCGAGACCTGTCTTGCAACCCCTGTTTCTGCCTCGAATAGGCTTTGCTGACTCCGAAATCTGCGTAGACAAGACAGAGATACGGCACTGTGACGGCCTTATATCTGAGCCTATTAACGTAAATAGTGATCACTGGAGGGTTTGAAGGAGAAGATGCTAACATCATTACTCCAGACTCATCACATTGTTCCTCTATATGGTGGCAGAGCTTTCTGCCCTTCAGCAGATTATCAATGCTTTAACAGGGCTCAAAGGCCTGCCTGCTGTCATTGTCGAGTGTGCCGTTACCACTATCTACACTTGTAAGTTCCCTTGATGAGCCAATTATGAAGATTGCCTCATATTCTACATAGCTCTGGGCGGGTTTCGCATCTCTTTCGTTACCGACAATATTCAAGGTATTATGGTAGTCGGTTTAGTCATTGTAGCTGTCGTCACTGTTGGCGTTGAGACCCACATTGACAAGAGTCTTGTCGAATCTTCGGGGTTGCTCAAATCGAGCTTGCTCGGCTGGCAGCTCATATATATCCTTCCGGTAGCCGTCCTAACTAACGATTTTTTTATTTCTGGGTTTTGGATGCGCACCTTTGCTTCCAAGACAGACAAAGACTTGGTTATTGGAACTTCGATTGCGACTGTCGCTGTAACCTTCATCTTGGGTCTTGTCGGTGCAGCTGGACTCCTGGCGGCATGGACAGGTGCTTGGCCTGGTAATCCACCACAAGATGGTGACATCGCCTTTTTCCTTCTGCTCGAGCAGCTTCCGAGCTGGGTAGTGGGCATTGTCCTCGTGATGGTCGTGTCTCTAAGCACAGCCGCGTTCGACAGCTTCCAGTCGGCTATGGTTTCGACCGGATCCAACGATCTGTTTCGCAACAAACTGAATCTTTGGTTGATCAGATTGGCCGTCGTACTGATTATTTTCCCAGTCGTGGTCGTAGCTCTTAAGAGTCCGGATATCCTGCAAGTCTACCTGATATCTGACCTTGTAAGCGCCAGTTCGATCCCCGTGCTTGTCATTGGCTTAAGCGATGCATGCTACTGGTGGCGCGGATTTGAAGTTGTGATTGGTGGCTTGGGTGGTCTACTTACCGTCTTCATCTTTGGCACCATCTGTATGTATTTTCGGAGCCCATACTTCCTCTCTTAGACCAAATCTTGAGTTTTGACATGTCTCGGGAGTTTTTACTCCGAGGCGTGTTCCAAGGCTCAATCTACCTCCTCAAACAGGCAACACTGACTCCGAATTCTTGATCCAGACTTTGGTAACGCGCACGAAGGAGCGTATCTTCTGCTGTTGGAGAATGGGCTATACGCGAATGACTGGAGTGCCTTTGGTAAGTCTGGCGCCGAGCACACGCCTAGTTGGGTACATCTGTGGCTAACGAGCATGTTTGTAGGGGCCTTCGTCGCGGCACCTGTTGGCGGTCTATTGTGGGGAGGTGGAGCATTTGCACTTCGTGTCGGATTTCAATGGATTCAAGCCAAGAGGAAGGGTCACAGATTTGACGCTTTCGATCGTCCTCCCCCTACACAGCCGTCGACATATACTAGTGGTGCGGGATCATTCGATGAAGAGCACGAACGGCGCGAAGAGCCAGCAGAGCCCGAAGAGCGTGTTGCTCCAATTAGCATCAGCCCCCAGAAAGGAAAGTTCTTTTGAGCTGCAGATTATGAAAATGTGCGATAGCAAGGGTAGAAGCGGCGAGGAGGGAGATGGGGACGGAGAAAGTGTACATGAAGCCGTTGTATCGACTCAGAGGCCTTTCTGCCGAGCTCGTTCAGGTATATGCATACAGATGTCCGTGAGGAAGGACTGGGCTACCAAGAAAGGACATATTCAGTGGATGCGACATTTTCCTCCCCGTCATTGTTTTCCAACAACTGGTGTGGCAACAACTGCGTCGTCCCCCAACACGTCCTCAACCTTGCTTTCCTCAATTGTTCCCCAAATCTTCCATCTCCCCTCTTTTCCCCTCAACATCATTCTTTGCAAGACCACATATTCTACCATCTTCTTCGCTTCGGTCGTATCGCTTGCGACGCCATTTGTAGGCGTCCTCTCGAGGCTCTGCATAGACCTAATTTTGACGACCACTTGGTACAGCGCCGACTCCTCAATCCCAAGTGACACAATATTGGTACTGACAATACGGGAAAAGCCGATATATTTGTGTAGCGTCCATTGCAAGCTTTCTTTGGGTGGGCGGACATTGATTCGTGTGCCGAATGAGGCAAGAAGCCCTTCGTGACAGATGCTCTCCAAAGTTGCCATGTCACCGCTGTTTTCAGAAATTGGGCGGTCAGGCTGCGTTCGTGGCAATGATGGAAGGTATCTTACTCGGCAAACGCGGTGTACATTGTTTCGTAGAGCCTTTTTGCCTCGGGAGCAATCGTTCCGCGGCGGAGTTTAGGCCAAGGCCGGCTCTTTAATAAAAATTTGTATGTGATGCACCTATACAACGGTCAAACACAGGCCGCTGATCCTAAATTTTCAAGCGGAGTTCAAGAGACTCACCCTTGCAAAGCGCGCCATTTCTTCTTCAATCTGTACCATTCTAATCGCATGCGTAAGTTTGGCGTTCGAAGTAGCGACGGCTTTATAAGTCCAGATGGCATGACAAATGTTCCTGGCAGCGGCGGAGGTTAGCTTTTGGGCACGGTGATGGAGCAGAAGGCTTGGGATAGTTACCTGGAAGAAGCCCCATGTCGTTCCTTATCCTTTGCATGCTCTTTGTGTCATAGCTCCTTGGTTGACTCGGCTGGACACTGAGTAGTGGCAGTAGGGGCCAAGGTTGTGTACGTCGTGAAGGGTAGAGAAAGGAGCAGAGGGTCGGCAATCGAGGGTGGAGAGGAGGCATGTTGCTGTCTCAAGTGATGATATCTTTGTTCGGTTCAGTCATACCAATGATACCACAAATAGCAATCCAGCATCGTGCATTGGCTTCTTACGAGAAAATCTAAAGTGCACAGCAGACACCAGCAATGCTTTTTCTTTTCTCTTGGCGGTCTTTGGTCCCTGTACTCGTAAGGCTGAAACTCCGGGAGCCCTGCTCGCGTGTTTGCGGCAAAACCTGGGGAAGCTTGGAAGCGAGACATTCATGTTCGCTGATGCTCTGTGACAGCCTTTGAACGAGGTCAAAGTTGGGACAACGGTCTCTTTACACTTTACAATTCAATCCTTTTTTTTTCTACAATTCTGCAGATGCGGCAGCACATGCCGCTGTTTAACTGGCTCACCTGGCGTCCTCTCCAGATCCTCCCAGCTATGCTGCTAGCTTTTCCTCTCCCGGAGTAAAGATCGAAGCTACCACACAGTCGATCGCCTCCCATCCACGCGTTGCAGTCCTCTTGGGCATCAATGCTCGGTGGCATATTCCCCTTTTGATATGCCGGGCCCTCAGCACCGCTCCAGCCGCATGGTGGGGTCTCCGTTGTGCCATTACCTTCTTGGGAGAGCTGCTGCGGAGTGATGGAACAGCGGCGCTGGGAGATACTTGGACAGTGGAGAAACGATTCAGAGTTACTGAAGTGTTCTTGGCTATTCTTTGGGTACGTCGAACACTGTGGGGAGGGTCAATGCCAGCAGCAGAGGATCTTCAGTCCATCCGACAAACAGTGTGTATCCTTGGCTGACACAGCTTGTACGCACAGTGCTCTGCGGCCGCGTACCTGTCATACTTTTTTACGGACTGCCTAATGTCAAGATGGTAGGGGCAAGCAAAGGGCAGCGAGCATCTTCCCGACTCGGCTAACGATCTACAAGGCTATTGTTTTATACCCCATCCGCCGCCGTTGTTCGACTTTTGACCACGAATGTCTTAATCGCACACATCACATCCTGGGTTTTGTATCTTTCCGGCGCTTCTGAGGATCCACGAATGCTCCTTCCAGCTTGGGTTTCAATCGCTACGGTCAGCAATCCTTCTGGCATAACTATACCCGAAAGCTAACAGCGCCATAGACCCTCACTATGCTGTACCATATCACTCAGCGAAAGATCAACATCAGAAAGGAGACATCCGCGTCTATAGGCGTATTTTCTATTGCTAGCTTTGTCAGTCTGTGTACGTTGCTTTTTCAGCTACATCTGACTCGAGAGAATGACCCGGTTGTCCCATTGTTTTCGATGTTGCGAAGAATTGGGGAACATCTGCTGCGGTTTGCAGAGGCTCCGCGGTGATTGTAAGCCTTTGCTATAAACGATACCCTGGCAAAGTCTCGAATTGTATTGATTCACCCAGCGCTCTTAAAGGTAGAGTGCATGTAGCTTCGATGGTTCTAAACTTTCGTTATCATGCTCTCAAACCATAGTAAAGAATGACAGGCCTCGCCGAGCCATCGCATAGCAGCTTCCGTGACTGACACATCCCTTCCGAAGACGAGAAAGCCTCCTAGTCCCCATCACCGATGCACTCAAAGGGTATCTACCAACGCCCCAACGCACGCTTTCGCTTGACACACGCCACACCAGCAGAGGCGGTAAGAAGTAAGAGAGTTAGGCTTGCTGAATGAACTTCTATCGGTCCACTGGAGGGAAATGCCATCTGATGCGTTGGTGGTAGGATCTAGAACCCATGGACCTGCACGACGTGTGAGTTTGACTATTGATGCAATGCTGCACATTGGGAAAAGTACCTTGATAGTTTTGGCATCAAGTTCCAGCCCTTCCTTTTTATCGACCAGGAATTCTTGGACATCTTTGCGCTGATCACCCTGAAGCTGGATCACCTCGCCCATCTCAGTGTCATTGACGATTGTGCCATTGCAAGCTAGAAAGACAGACGTCAGCGCCAATCTTCGTTTGAGCCGCATGATGACTCACCGAATTTCTTCTTGATGACCTTGAGGATCTTCTTCTGATCGAATTTCTTGGGCAGACCTTGGACAGTAGTCAAGGTCTTGCGACCATTGCGCTCTGTTGATGCCAAGTTAGCAAATTGTCTGTATTGTGCTATGTTCGCAAATACGATCTGTAGAGTGTCATAACGTACGCTGAATCCTAATATGGATGTAGTTTTGAGACTGCTTAGTTTCCCCGGTATCTTCGTCGGCTTCGGCGAAGGGGTCTGTAGAGGTCAGCAAGTCCGAGCAAGTCCGCCTGTATGAAAGGGTTGAGGGCGCAGTCGAAAGAGAGAGAAAAGCAGAAGATTCTTTATGCCATGTCCCCTCTCGCACAACAACCCATTTGGAAGGTCGCTGGTGAGATTGAAGGTTGCGCCAGAAGGCTGCGGGATGCTACTAACCGAAGGTCTTGAGATTTTCGATGGACATAAACTCGTATGCTCTCGGTGACTCTGGAATAGGTGTTTGTGGAGTGAAAAGGAAGGGTCGATGATAGTGTAGTGGGTGTTGAATCTGATGCGTTTGTTTGAATAGCTGCGTGGAGTTGAGTGTAGTAGAGTGGGAGATATCGGTTGTGTGTTGTATGTGTAATGTGTTGTGAAGGGTGTGAATGAAAAGAGGTCGAGAGGGGTTGGCACTTGGCGGGATGATAGAAGACGCTAGCCGCATTCGATTTTGGTTCGACGCTGCCCGAGCATGCCTTGGGTGCACCGTGCGATTACGACTATTGCCACACTTGATGCAGAAATTCTTTTGAGTCACGGATGCAGAAATGCTTTTGAGTCACGGATGCAGGAATGCTTTTGAGTCATGCGAGCAATCGTGCGAATATTCCTTCTATCAGAGTCATCATAACGACAAACTGAAATTTTGGGGTACTTGATTTATCTTTTATTTCACATTTTACAAAGTATTCCCATACTGTAGGAAAGCCTCCCCTAATGAAAACATGATAGTACAACGCGCACATAAGCACATGACATATGAAGTCGTTTGTCCCGGAGGAATTCCTCGTAGAATCAGGATGGTGGCGCTGCCCCAGGCGCTTGAGTGCCTGTTGCGCGAGGACCAGCTGGGGGCGGCATGAAAAGTTGTAGATATGTCTAGCCTCTGTCAGTAAAAGGTAGGGCGGATCGTATCACTCTACCAGGGAATGTCTTACTGTTCCTACAGCGAGTACTAAGGAAAGTCATAGATTAGTTCAAGGCGAGACTGAAGTTTAATATCATAGTAAGAGTCCTTACAAGCCATTCCGGCGCCCATGTAGCCAGGGGTGCCAGACTTCTTTGCCTGCTCAGGCGTTTGAGCTAGCCACGTTTGTACCGCAAAGACAAACGAAGCCCTGTAGCTCGTCAGAGGATGCCATGCAACGCCGGCTCGTCCAGACGTACCAGCCAATCATCCTAGTAATTAGAAAATGGTCGTGAGCAATACTGATACTTGCGCTGGGTTGGCTTTCTTACTTGTTTCTTGTGAACATCTTCTCGTGTCAGCCAGATAAACCAGAAGGGCTAGGGGAGACTTACTGCAACCATTGGCAGGGTGGTGGCCATTGTATTGGCGATATCATCGGGTTTTTCTGCTGAGGGTTCTTTGTAAGGAATGACTGGAGCAGAGTCAGTCAGTCTGCGGAAGAATATGGATAGATAGGCTTCACTGAGATCTTCTCTCCGCATGTCCTTCCTTGATGCCATGGCTATAAGCAGTCAATCCGTCGTCAATTTAATATTGGTCTTCAACGCCGTGAAGGTAGCCAGCATGTTAAATGTCCTGCTTGAACGGGGTAATTACACTAAAGTAAAGTACGGTACCCTACATACACTGCTAGTGTCAATATATCGATGTACCTTAAAGTACGGAGCAAAGCCTCCCGAGTTCCCGCCCGCGGAAACGGAGAGAGCCAATCTGGCAACCCATGTTCGCACCAATTCGACATGTGCCCCCAACTTCCACTCTTCCTATAGGTAAGGTACTAGAGTATTGACATACTAATTATATAGAACACCTTTCTTTCCTCTTCTTTTCCATCATCATATTCAATAATTGACCTATACTACCTCCTACACATCCTCTGCTCCTCTGTCCGCATTGCGCCCTTCTATCCCTACCCCACCGATTCGATGATGCCCAACTCCCTCAGAAACTCTATTTCCCGAGTCTCGGCCGACATGACTGAACCATGACGAGTAATCTTGCGGGCATTGAGCCACCATTGCTCACCGGCAATCGCTCCTTTCAACTGCCTCCCACTCGCACAGCCTCTCACGACCTTCAGCAGACTTCCAGAACGTGGCCGCGTCAGACTTTCAACCCAACGCCCAATGCGCCACCAAGCTCCCAGGATGCCTCCGAGCCTGCTTCCAAGAGACAGAAGACCGGAGATCCTGCTACAGAATCAATCGGAAAGACGAGTGGAATTTTACGAAGCGTTTTGGACATTAATGCTGCGATAAGTGAAAAGGGTAGGCCTCTCATAAAGAGCGCGGATTTCTTACCGGGAAAAGAGAGTGCAGATAAAGAACAGCAACCTTCCCTATTTCCCACTCGCCCTGGTAAAAACCCTCAACCTGGTGGCAACCAGCAGGGTCGCGCGCTGGCTATCGAGAGAGCCACTGCAAGAGACGTCGTCCCAGTCAAACCCTATGTTCCCGAACCTCCCTCCTTCGCGCCACGGTTCCATAAAGCTGGTAAGTGTCCCTCGTCTTGTGCGAAGGCATGTATGCTTACTCACAAACTCTAGGGCCTGCAGACTTCTTCCCGTGGACGGGCTGTCACGCAGAGGATGTCCTTAACGAGCTAACCACCAGACAAGGCTTCTACGACAAATCCCCCGTCTCCCAGAACGAGTCCAACACTGCTAGACCATCGGTCTGGTCTAGCCTGAAGCACAAATCTGGCCTCCAAATCTTGTCGTCTTTGTTCGTCTCAGCGCTCGATCAGAGGCAGATTCACGGCACCATTACCACGAACACTACTTTCAAGCCTCCACCGAGGGTGACTCTGACCGACACGAAGCGGGAGGCTTGGCTCCGAGATCTTGCAAATCCTTCAATCCCTTTACGACGGTTAAGTCGAACAATTCCGCACGGCATTCGAGGGAAGATACTCCTGGACCACTGCCTAAGCAAAGATATCCCTACGTTCAGAGCCATCTGGCTTGTCAAATGCGTGGGGGCCAACGAAATTCGAGCGTTCAAAAGGAAAGGAACAGGCGGTGTCTTTACCGTTGGTGGAGAAGCCAAATGGATCAAAGACTGGACAGCCAATGTCGAGCAATTTCTCGAGTCTATCGTTGGTCTTTGTGGCAGTGCTGACTGGAGATCGAAGATTAATTATGGGTAAAGCACAGTCTTCCATGGGTCCAAGCCTTGTGCTGACCAGAGTAACCAGCTTGCGTCTGATTACACACCTCTACTCGGAGCATCTTCTCGATCGGGACCACTACCTTGACTGGCTGATCGCCTCCTTTCGAGACAGCGATCTAGATGCTCTACCTATGTGGCTCCTGGTCATGCAGATACATCAGCAAGATATTCTCCAGCACAGACAACGTGGACGACGTTTAGCTGAAGCGTTGTCGAAGCATTTAGACAAGGTAAGTCATCATTGTGGCTCACACAGAAATGCAGCAGGACTTAAACGAGTCTTAGGCATCTCTAACAACTACCCACGAAGTGTATGACACAGTCTTCAAACAACTCGCCAAGCTTCTCAAGACTGTTATGCTTTCGGCCCCTGCGTGCTTCATCCTTCCAGCTTGCTGGAGCAGGTACGGAGACGCAATCAAGAGGTGTCTGGACAAAAATGAAAGCCGTTTGCAATCCACCTTTGACAGCCTCTCGAAGCGTAATTGGAGACTCCGCAACCGCTCTTTGAACCGAAGTAGTCAGGCGACCAAATCTCACAGACAGACCATCATAGTGTATCTGGACAGCTTGTACGATCACCAAAGCATTGGCAAAATTGCAGGCGCGTGCCTGCGGGTCACCGGCGATTATGACTTGCTTGTTCGAACATGCATCGAGTGGTCGTCCAGCGTCTATAGGCACGGTCGCTTTAGGGCATATGCTGCAGCACGTCTACTCCGTATCTGGAAAAGAAAAGGCGTCGATCTTCAAGGCCCAATATTGAATTTCTTGGCTGCAAGTCCAGATGTTCCGGGCTTGCAGAAGAGAGACGTATACAGATTGCTTGCTGAACTTTTTCGTTCTCAGCACCTGTCTGTCAGTAAGTATCTACAATGGCTCATCGCTCGTGGAACGTTGGATGGTTATCATGACCCTAACATGGTGAGTACATATCTCTCCATGACATCATTTCACCAGCTGATCGATCCAGGAGCGTCCATGCGATGTCTACTTGCTATTTGAGCTGCCTTTGCAGGGCCTGCCATCTCACGTTCTCAATTTACGAAGCATGCTTTTGACTACGCTAGGAGTTCCTGCTGAGCGAGAAAGAGACATGATCATTGCAGCAAAGGCGAAAATACTAAGCCAGGTCCCAGGGTTTTTCCTTTGGGATGCTTCATCTGGCTCGGGAGCAGGCTGTGATGAATTTGCTTTGTTGAGTCAAACGGTAAAGTCTGCCGTTGCTCTGTGGATTCGCAAAACCCTGTTTTCACGCCTCCAAGTCTTCGGAAGGACTGATTCGGCATCTGAAGATACTAAACAGCCAAACAGAGATAAAGTCACTTTTTGTCTCGTCACCTTAGAACAATTCCACGCCATCCGACGCATTCTCGAAGACTTCGAAGACTTCGCAATCCTCGCTGATGTCCTAAATATATTGTCCGATGAAGTGCAAGGGCCTATTTTGACGGCTGTCACCGATACAGTCAACCAGTATTATGATGTGTTCAACGCCATAGGTGCTGCCGATGATACATTTCGAAGATTGTATCAACGGGTGGAAGAATCTCATGGCCCCGAGGTTGTTGAAAATGCTTTTCTTGAATCGCTGATTGACCTGGCTAGCCGCTTTCCCAACGCGGCTCAGGAAGTCCAAAGGCTTCGAAACGATACGTTGGCTCTTGTGCCCAGATCATCTGTCGTCGCTTTCTCGCCCATCTCGGACAATATGGTTGAAGCAGCGCAATCAGCCGAACCAACGTTTGCGGACGAGATGGACCAAATACTCGCAGGAGGGACCAGTATGGACAAGCAAACTTTAAGTCGAATGTTCGGCGCAATAATTGGCCATCTAGAAACATCATTCGAGGAGTCAAGTCAATTAGGTATCCGATTTTCGCGGCTGCTCGCTCGGCTGCGCAGATTTGGTCCAAAGACGTTCGACGCACTGCTCAAAGATTGGCTCCAAGATTGGCTCCAGAAGTGGCTGCGTTCCGATCTTCAGGCAAAGCTGGGGATAATATTACCACCAATGATTTGTTCTAAAGTCGTCTCGTTGAAGGTAGTTCTGGATTCTACCGCACAGCTTCTCGTTCTTGAAGACCACCGAAATGATCGGGCTACTCTAGCCTTTGAGATGTTGGATATGGTGATTACGGCCAGCTCTGGACCGATGCCCATCGTGAACTACCGAGGCTACCGGCTTCTTGATCAATTTCGTCGCCTCATTCGCGTGTCTTCGGCCTCGATTACAACCTTACTCAGTGTCGTTGTAGAGACATGCAGAGCAACGGAAGCTCCCTTGCGCACGCGCGCTCGGGCTCGAGTTGGAGACCTTTCGGTCAGGAACCTGATACAGACTCTCGTGCTACAGCAGCCCAGCATGTCAAGAGTAGTCGCATCCGCTTTACCCAATACTGACTTACAAACAGCTTTTGGGGGAGTTTTGGACCAGGATCAGGATCAGCTAGGAGAGTCCTCGAACCTTGGTCGACACCATAGGATCTCGGGGCTTCTACACAGCATTAGTGACTTCAACGTGCCCCTCGTCCAGTTGCAGTTGAGGGCAATCTTGTCAGATACCGGATCCTTGGAGAATGCTGAGGATACCTTGTCAGATATCATCGTAGAGCGGAACGGCGCTTCAAGTTTTGGCCGCGTTGAGTTGTGGGCATGCCTCGTCTCCGAACTGCCTGTCCCACAAGCGGCTTCAGTTCGAGAGAAGGCTGAGACCGAAATACTTTGTTTGGTTGTTACAGATGCGACATCGATGTGCCACGGGGACAAGACGCGGCTCGACGGTTTGACTGCAATAGTCGAAGCAGCTGGGTTCAGTGTATCAGATGCCGAGACGTCCCCATTCCTTGACCAAATCGCAGATGGACTCTCATTGATTTGCTCTTCGCACCAGCTGGATAAATATCAGCACGATCATGATGAGATCGACTCAGACCATATGGGCCAGTGTATCGATGTTCTCATTTCCTTGCTCATCATCCACCAGTCGACAATCCAGCACCCAAGATTCTCTCAGTCCGCCCTCTTTCAAGTCCTTATCTCCCTCAGTCGTCTCCTGATACATCCGTTCCTTACCTTCCATCCAACTCTTCCCAGCTACGTATTCGATACACTCGCTCTCCTCTCCGACTCCCTCTCCGACGACACTCGAATGCGCTGCATTCGCACCCTTCGTGACCACCATCACAGTCAGGATGCGCGCTTACGGTTCATCTTCGGCTACCCTGAGACTGTCAACAGTGAATGGCTACAACTACTTACAAAGCCCTCGACAATCGCTGAAGCAAAGTCCGAGGGCGTGACGATGCAGCCATACTCACTTCGGAGAT